AATGTTTATTACAGTGCCTACTAACTCTCCACCAGAAATTATAGCACAGCACTTACAAGGAGCAAGGCAGCACTGAAAAGTGTACATTTTACTTTTAGTGCTCCTTTCACTTAAAACACATTTGCTGTAGCAAAAGTGTTACATGATTAAAAAGTGAAAATGCAGTTTTTACCAAAAGCTTATTGAAAGGTTCAAGACAAACAGGCTTAAAGGAATAGTACACCCAAAACATGATTAGCCTTCATTTTCTACTCACCCCCATGCTGAACAACACCCTGGAGTACTTTTTTGATATCTCAAATGCATCTGGAGATCTGGGAGGCTTCTTGCTGTCTGCTGACATTCAAATAATGGAGGTCTATGGTGACCGAGACAGAAAGGTCCATAAAAGTCCACAAAAAACGTGTCAATATTCCTCCATACTGGTCGTCCAATGTATTCCAAGTGTCCTGAGTGGGTAGCATCCAGAATTTACTCGAAACAAAGTCATTTAGAATGTTTTTAGAGCATAAACAGTAGTGTATAGGATTTCCTGAAAGCGCGCACATGCGCGATCACGACGCTACGGAAGCCGGCAGACCAAACCAGATGAAAGTGCGCATTCAGCGTCTGCTCTGCCAATAATGCAAGCGTAGAAGAAGAAATGCGCCGTTTACCTGTGCAAAGAAAGAAACAACGAAAGAAAAATGTCTGAGGACTTCAGTGTTGAGGAAGAGCATGAGTTCTTTGCCGAGCTGAATGCGCTGGTTTGGTATTCCCTGTTGTTCTCTGCAATGACCTGGAAGCTCAGCTTGAAGAATCCTATGTGGATATTCCCTGTTGTTTTCTGCAGTGAGCTGGAAGCTCAGATCAAGGTCTGCTATGCTAAGCCTGAAGCTAGATGCTTAGCTTCACATGAACTCTGATAACCAACAGTCTCCAGTCCCAGTCAAGACTTCAGTTAACCAGCCCAACCCTGTTTCAGAACTCATTCATGATCCTTGTGTTTGTGCAACAATAAACTCTGTTTAACTTTTACCCCGTTTCCGTGTGTGTTCTGCATTTTGGGCTTTACTCAGAGCCCCATCAAGACAGAACACTGCGGCCAAACACAAAGCCCAGCAGATCACCTCTGTCGGTGGATTGAGGAACGGGACGCTCAGATCCATGGACATACACAAACCCTCCGTGAGTTACAGCTGAATCAAACATTCGCTAGCCACTTGGTTAATGCTAACGCCACGTCAGCGGCACGTCCTGCTCCGAATCCACTTCCGTTTCCTAGGTCACCGGCAGTGACGTCACATCCTAGTCAAGATAATAATCTTCCTTTCTGGTCAGAACCCAGCCCGTCGTTTTCTGCACTCAGCCTTTCTCTGCCTGAGAGATATTCCGGCAATCCAAGTAAGCTCAGGAGATTTCTATTTCAGTGTCAGTTATTTTTTGGTTTTCATGATTCAAGTTTTCTTTATGATAAGGATAGAATAGCTTTTGTCTTTTCTTTTCTGTCCGGTGAAGCCCTTGAATGGGCGGAGACCAGATTTCTGCCTAAAATTAGAGTTAACTGTACCTATGAGAAATTCATTCAGGATTTTGAAAGGACTTTTAACCGAGTCTCAAATAAGTCCATCGTTTCTAGTGGTCTATTTAAAACAAAAAAGGGAGATAGATCCGTTGCCGAATTTTCCTTTGATTTCCGGGTTAAAGCAGCCGTTTCTGGGTGGAACGAGTCTGCGCTCAAAACTGCTTATCTCCTAGCTCTGAATGAACCAGTCAGAAACGAGCTAGCTTTTTACGATGAGCCAGCTAACTTGGGGGACCTCATAGAGCTAGCTATTAGGCTAGACATTGAACTACAAACCAGATCCAGCTCCGTTCTGCGCCAAGTTAGTCCCAGCTCTCATTTACGCGATCGTCACTTAGCTCCGTCTGTTAAAGGACTCAAAATAGGCCCACAAGTTACATCTCAAACTGTTAGAGTTCCCCACCAGCCTGATCAGACACCTGAACTAGTCACCTACGTTTCTAAACCTGTTCCCTTGCCTGGTTCTCTAGCCTCTGAACCAGTAATCCGTTCTGGAACTCTAATTTTTCAACACGTTAACATGTCGCCAGAATCAGTAATCAAACCAGTTAGCTCCACTCCAAAGACCCCTCGGCGTAAGAAACGGCGTCGCCTTAAGTCAGCTCTGTGCCATCTAGAGACCCCTGGGTCAGCTCTGTGCCATCCAGAGAGCCCTGAGCCTGCCCTGTGCCGTCCAGAGACCTCTGAGTCTTCCCTATGCCGTCCAGAGACCCCTGAGCATAAACTTAAGTGGGCTTCAGAGTTCGGAGTTGCTGAAGATATGCCTCCAATAGCCTCTCAGCAGGGTCCACAAACCGCCAAGACCTCTCTACAGACGCTGCAAGCCACCTCTGAGACTGAACATGAGCCTCCATGGGTGTTCTCCCCTGTTCCTGAGATGGAGCCATGGTCGGTGTTTTCTCCAGTTCCTTAGGTAGAACCACAGTTGGTGGTGTCTCCTGTTCCTGAGGTGGAGCCACAGTCGGTGGCCTCCCCAGTTCCTGAGGCAGAACCACAGTCAGTGGTTTCTCATGTTCCGGATGTGGAGCCACTGTCGTTGGTATCTCCTGTTCCAGATGTGGAGCCGCGGTCGGCGGGCTCCTCAGTTCCTGTCCAGGAGCCGCAGGTTGCGGTCTCCTGTGGGCCTGTTCCTGGGACGCGGTCGGTGGTCCTCCCTGTTCCTGATCCGGGGCCGCAATCGGCAGGCTCCACTGTTCCTGATCCGGAGCCGCAATCGACGGGCTCCCCTGTTCCTGACCGGGAGCCGCAATCGGCGGGCTCCCCTGTTCCAGACCGGGAGCCGCAATCAGCGGGCTCTCCTGTTCCAGACCCAGAGCTGCAGTCGGCGGGCTCTCCTATTCCAGACCCTGTTCCAGAGCCGCAGTCGGCGGTCTCCTCAGAGCCTCCTCCAGAGCCGCAGTCGGCAGTCTCCTCAGAGCCTCCTCCACAGCCACAGTCGGCGGTCCCTACGGAGCCTGTTCCTGAGCTGCCGAGGGGGGGACGGGGTACTCTGTTGGGGGTACCTGCTGAAGTGTGGGCGTCATCCTCCTGAGAAGCTGCTTCGCCTCCGGTCCCGCGGCAGACCCCCAGAGCGTCATCTTCACCGCCGACCCCGTGGCAGACCCCCGGAGCGTCATCCTCACCGCCGACCCCGTGGCAGACCCCCAGAGTGTCAGCTTCGCCTCCGACCCCGCAGCCGGCCACATAAGACTCTGCTCCGTTACCGGATCCTCGGCCGGCCTCCAGAACCTCTGCCATGCCTCCGGCCTGGCGGTGGTTCCCCTAAGACGCTGCTTCGTCCCCAGCCCCATGGTCGGCCTCCTGAGCATCTGTCTCAGCATCTGTATGTGGAATCACCCTGAAGAATCCTATGTGGATATCCCCTGTTGTTCTCTGCAATGAGCTGGAAGCTCAACCTTGAAGACTCCTATGTGGATGTTCCCTGTTGTTCTCTGCTAAGAGCTGGAAGCTCAGCTTGAAGAATCCTATGTGGATATTCCTTGTTGTTCTCTGCAGTGAGCTGGAAGCTCAGATCAAGGTCTGCTATGCTAAGCCTGAAGCTAGTTGCTTAGCTTCACATGAACTCTGCTAACCAACAGTCTCCAGTCCCAGTCAAGACTTCAGTTAACCATCCCAACCCTGTTTCAGAACTCATTCATGATCCTTGTGTTTGTGCAACAATAAACTCTGTTTAACTTTTACCCCGTTTCCGTGTGTGTTCTGCATTTTGGGCTTTACTCAGAGACCCATTATGACACCCATTCTGTTTTGTTACTTTAGTGTAAAACAATCGTGGACTGTCAGATAAATGTTCATTGGAGTAGGACTCAAGAGGATTAAGCATCCCAATGTTAACTTAACAGTATATATATATTTTTTTTTGCTGTAGGAGTTGCACTTGCCAGACATTGAGTGGGAGTCCAGTGGAATCCATGACGGTCGGAGCCCAGGTGTCATTGTACCAGTTTTCCAGACACCTCTGAGTGAACTGGAGATGGAGAACCTCAAAAGAGCAATAGATCCCACTGCTCCTTCTGATTGCTATGGAATGGACATTTACAAGGCCACGGTTGAAAGTGTCCAAAGAATCATTCACAACAGATGAAGTTGCTTGATTTGTGCATTAATAATTATTGCTTAAAAAGCTTAGTTTTGGCTGTTACATTTTTAAAGCACAGGGAACCTTTGGATTTGCATATAATTAAACGTTAGACAGTCCTTGTCACATTGAAGTTTTTGTGTAATTGTAGAGAAATGTACAGATAAAATGCAACTGTAATTTCAAATAAATGTATTAATCTACCAACTGATTTCAAGAGAATGTGATAAAACTTAAATCAATGCTTGTTTATTGAAATGTATACAAAACAAGTTAGAGTAACCATTTGCAGAACTCCACATATTTAAAGAGGAACGTGGAAAATGGTATTGAACATTTACAGCATCATAGTGGTCAGGGAAGCCACACATACACAAATGCAAAACAAAGATTTTAATTAAATTAAACAATGCAAAAGAAGAGCATAGCCCTGAGTAAGACCATAAATAAAGATTTAAATTGTGATAGTACATACCTAAGAGGTAAAGCTGTTTGAAACATTTAAAGCGCTTGGCACTGGCTATACACAAGTTGGAACTCTAACAGGAACTCCTCTGTTTTAGCAATTAACGTGAAGGTAACAAAACACAGAGGAATAGCTTTGTGTACACCGCATTAAAATATTGCAAACTTTCCAGTATTGGTCTTTTGGTGAAAAACAGCTTTTTTCTTTAAACACGGTCACACCAAAGTCCAAAATATAATTTGCTTTTACACAAGACCAAACCCTGTTTCGTTAGTAGCAATAGCACACAACAAGTTGGACTTGAATCTTTGTAGTGTGTGAGACGGTCCGGCAACTTGATGGTCTCGAAGCAAGTCAAGGCCCTGGGGAGGAGGCCACTTGCCACCTTCACAATCAGCTCCTCTGGAGGGACCTCCCAACCCACCCAGAACCGTAGCAGGTTTTTCAATTGCTCTGAAGATGCTGAAGTGAAAACGGTACAGAGCTGTGAGAAATGTGTCCTTTACATACAGTTGAACAATGAGTTGCTTCATAGTTTCCAAGTTGCTGGAATAGAGTTCAGTCATTCATGTTCAGGATGATGCATATGAGGCAGAAGGCAGGAGAAGTTGCCTCAGCAGCACTGATTAAAACATGTCATTCAATACTTTCGTAATGAACGACATGACAAATTTATTCAAAAATGATAACTTATTATTACTATTAAAAGCATATCCACAGATTAAATTGAAAAATGTCTTCCATGTATGAAAACATAAATCTCTCTCTATATATAGATATAGATAGATATTGTTATAGTGTTTATCAGATTGTGAAGTAAAATGTGAAAATGTAAAAAGACTTAATGAAATTGGTAAAGTGCAATCAAATAATTTGACCAATAAAAATTTTGGCCGATAGACGTCTGCTTTACCAACCATGTAAAAAGTTTCGAAATGGGACTTGAGTTTGGACCAACATGTTAGTAATCTGCAACAAATAAACGTTTGTAGGCATCAGTTATAATCCAAAGTCCACAAAACATACCACGTTCTACAAAGGTCCTGAAAAAAGCGGTGACTCGAGTGACTGCCTCAGCCGAGATGTCATCTTCATCGTCATCAGAATCTGGATTCGTTGTTGGCCATTTTATGTGGCCAAGAATCATCTGCAAAGACAGAAACTGGTGTGAAGGCTTCTAATTCACACTTGGGAATAAAAATGCAGGGACGTATTCAAAAACAGCATGACTTAAGTACATCTTAAAGGTTTTTACAAAACCAAATCTGACATACCTGGGGTGTGATCTCAGCTTCTCTCTCACAAGGGAAAAGCAACTTCACCACATCGGCCCTATTTGAGAGAAGCGGGCAAATGCCAGTTTCCTTTAGTCCCCTTCTCAACTGCTTTACTTGTTTTGCTGATCGTTCATGTTTTGCATGAACAAATAAACTAAAACATATGACAAGCAATTGAAATTGTCTACTTAGTATGAACATTCATGAGTGGGAACTCATCCCCTTTTCTACCAAGTTAACACGAACCACCAGCAGTACTAGCATGTACAGTGGGTACTGGTTGGAAATGGACGGTTTCCTGCGTGATTCCTGTGTGATTCCTGCATGAATCATGATGTATTTCCTGAGGCCAGTTTTTTTATTTCAAAAAGAACTGCAATGTACCCGGACAAACACCAGGCTGCACTTGGGAACTTTTTTTCCCCTCCTTAATCCAGGCTGTTATTTAGATGCTGTCTTTAAAGCAGGTTTATTGGGGATCTTGGTGTGATATTGTGCTATTTTATGATGTTTTTGGTTAAAATAAAGTTAATGAATTAATTTAACATAGTGACTGCATTATCTTATTTCATGAAAATTGTTGCGTACTGTATGGGAGCAGTTATAGATACACCCTGCGATCTTATCTGAGAACTGTTTATTTCTATTTATCTGCATCTCTATTATTTAATGAAAAATTATTATAATTAATCTTTTGGCAAAACAAATAACTGAATCAATAAAGGTCCGTGGATCATCCGTCCATTCGGGAGGGAGGGGGGTTCATGCAACGTCATTACATCACTGGTATCTCGGTATCCAATCAGCTCACTGACTTGCCCGTTGATCAAAGCCATCTCTGACAACAGCATTGAAACACCACTATTTATCAAGACGGTCTGGCTGCAGCACCGCAGCTGTCAGACCAGTCCCACTGCAGGCGCCTGTCACAGGCCACCTCCACCGTAGGGCCGGAAATAAAAAAATTTAGCCACGCCCACCTCCCCCCAACCGACATCACCTTCTAGACGAAGAAGAAGGTTGTTGAACATGCGAGACTCCGCAACAATGGTAAGTTAATTTCTTACTTTTACCGCGAAGCAAAAGATGTCTGGCTTTCATATGCTTGTCAGCAATGTATCGCTGTAGCGTTATATGTAAAGCACGTGCGGTTACTGAATGTTACAGTCAGTGATGGGCAGTAGCACCGCTACATGTAGCGAAGCTATTAGTTTAACTACATGTTCCAGTAGCATGACCATAGCGTCGCTGCTTTATTTATCAAGTAACTTTCCAGTAGTGACGTTATTGTTTTTATCAAGTAGCGACGTAGCGTCCACAAACGCAACAACATACAGGGCATAACTAAGTAATGAAAGCAGGTTTTCTATTTTTGAAACAACAATCAGAGTTATTTGCTGGACATTCACGCATGAGCCTCTATTCTGCCTCTCCTGTCTGTATCTACGAAACATGCGCATGCGTACTGCAGTGGAACTTAAAGAAGGACACCCGCAGCCACACACACAGGGTGGAGGAGACAGGATCAGAGCGCCTTATCTTCAGAGATTTTGAAACTTGTTGAATCCTCTGATAAAAAGTACGTGTTCAGATGTTTTAAGGCTTATTTGCACAGATAAGTTTTTTTAGGTATGGAGAAACAGCTCTCCCATGTATAAAAATAAATACATAAATAAATAAATACTCAATAAATAAATAAGCATTCAATTAATTACCCCCCAAAATACAATGAATAAATATGTAGGTAGAAATTAAATTATACAGTGAGACAGAAATGTATATATATCTCTTAATTAGCTTCTTTATTTTTTCACCTTTTTTTGTAAACAGTTTCATTTGTTACTTGAATCGACTGTTTAATTGAGGTCTGCAGAAGTTTTCTCTAAGGGAAACCCTAAAGAAATAAAATGCCTTTTGTAGGGTTTTGTTTTCCCTAGAGATGTCCATTGAATGTAAACTCATAGCCATGTCTCCATGTGTAGAACACTACACAGTACCTTTCATTTGGTTCTAATAACAGCAGATTGTTTTTGTTTTTTTTGTCTACTAGTAAATACTTTAGTTTTTTTTTTATTATGCTGATCATAAAACAATTTTTCAGAATCAGAATCGGGTTTATTGCCATTGTTAGTGAAGGAGTTCACAACTAGGAATTTTTTATGGTACAATCGTGCAACATGAAACATATATGAAATAGTAAATAAAATTATAAAAATCTCTAAAAACACTGGGGTATAAGGCATGCAAAAAATATACTAATATATACACTTAGGATAAAAATATGGATAAAAAAAAATATATATATATATATAAAAAGTAAAATGTACAAGGTAGTGCAAATAGAGCAGTGTGCAATACAGCAGTGTAAATGGCATGGGCAGGTTATAGAGTCTGACATATAGTGTTCATGAGTCTTATGGCAGAGGGGAAGAAGCTGTTTTTATGGCGGGAGGTTCTGGTCCGTATGGACCGTAGCCTCCTCCCTGAGGGGAGAGGTTCAAACAGTCTGTGTCCAGGGTGAGAAGGGTCGGCTGTGATGCAACCTGCACGCCTCCTGGTCCTGGAGACATACAGGTCCTGGAGTGATGGCAGCTTACCTTCTCAGCGGAGCGCACAATGCGCTGCAGTTGGTATCTGTCCCTGGCGGTGGCGCCAGCGTACCACACGGTGATGGAGGAGGTGAGGATGGACTCAATGATGGAGGTGTAAAACTGCTTACTTAAGTTTCCTGTGTTATGTCATTGGCTGATCTTTAATAAATATTTTAACAAAGAAGGTGAAAAAATAAAGAAGCTAATTAAGAGATATATATACATTTATGTCTCACTGTATAATTTAATTTCTACCTACATATTTATTCATTGTATTTTGGGGGGTAATTAATTGAATGCTTATTTATTTATTGAGCATGTATTTATTTATGTATTTATTTTTATATATGGGAGAGCTGTTCCTCCATACCTAAAAAAATCTTATCTCTGCAAATAAGCCTTAAAACAGATATATGTAAACATCCTGTCTGGTAAATTAGGCCATGAAGTACAATATCCAAGTTTGGCTACTGCTCTCTAATGAGAATATCTTAGTGGCACTCATCAGATTGAACTATCTAGAAATTAAAGGCACCAATAAAGTTAAAGCTGATATATTTTTCTCATTTTTATTTCAAAAAATTGACTGCAGTTGCTTGTTTTAATGAGTGTTTGGCTATGTAAAACAAATGGCTAGTCTTGGCCACATGAGCTCTCTATGGCCAAGAACCGAAATTTGAACACGTACTTTTTATCAGAGGGTTCAACAAGTTTCAAAATCTCTGAAGATAAGGCGCTCTGCTCCTGTCTCCTCCTCCATCCTGTGTCTGCGGGTGTCATTCATTGAGTTCCACTACAGTGCGCATGTTTCATAGATACAGACAGGAGAGGCAGAATAGAGGCTCATGCGTGAATGTCCAGCAAATAACTCCAATTGTTGTTTCAAAAATAGAAAACCTGCTTTCATTACTTAGTTTTGCCCTGGATTTGGTAGCGTTTGTGGACGCTACGTCGCTACTTGATACAAACAATAACGTCACTACTGAAAAGTTACTTGATAAATAAAGCAGCGACGCTACGGTCAAGCTACTGGAAAATGTAGTTAAACTAATAGCTTCGCTACATGTAGCGGCGCTACTGCCCATCACTGTATACCAGTTATTAAATAAACGCTTGTCAGCAGATTGATGAATATGTTTAAATATAAAATTTTATATTTATTTGTAGGTTTGTAATTTATTTGTTTGTAACTTTAGTCATTTGAATTGAATAGTTAAATGTGTACAAACCCTGTAAATAACTGACTTAAATAACTGCTTTCACTATCACTAATGTTGTGTTGAGAAGCCAAACTGTTAAGAAATAAATCCTTTTCTGTCTAAATTGTTATCCCCTTACTGCCTGATTTTATTTGCAATTATATATATAAAAAACATAATACAGGTAAAAAATCTAAATATAAAAAGGAAAAAATAAGTTAAATAGTGGATCTAGATCAAGTAACATTTTAATTCTAATAAATCATGTAATAAAGATAATGAAAAAAAGATAGATGACTGAATAAAAGTAAATGTTTTTGTCTATTTTTTTCTACAGGTCATAACGGCATTAGCTGTCCTGCACAACATCTTCCTGGGAGCCGGTGACATCACGGCGCCAGAGGATGAGGAGGGGGAGAACGTGTTGAAAGCAGTCAGTGGTGCTCCATGGAGGGACCAGCTGTCTGCTGAGGTGTCTGCCCTGGAGGAGGGTCTACCCGACCACTGTTACATTTAGATGGCAAGTAGAATCACATTTTAGCTGTTCTCATTTCAGGGTTATGAAAACAGTTTTAGTAAAGTCATTATTTTCTGCGTCTTTTTAAAAAATTTTAGTAACATGGCAGCCGTCGATTGGGTCAGCCCTGCAAACCCTGATGGACGATGTGGTGAACAGTGGAGAGAGGCACCCCGACCCCCCACATGATGTCCCACTCGCAGTCAGAAGACTCCAAGCTCATCTGTGTGCTGCTCAGCCTCTGCAGCATCTAGCCTTGGTGTGTCCTCAGGGATGGAGGCAATTAGGACAGGTGGGGCAAAAGACAGCCTCTGTCCTAATACCTCATCCATGAGGACAAACCAGGGCCAGGTGACAGCAGTGGGCTTCCCACTGACCCTCTGCCCTGTCGCTGGATCTTTGCATTCCTAAAATAGAGGAAAACAATTTGTATCAACAAATCATATTTTCTGTAGTGTTTCTTTAAAGCTAGAAAAAAGGAATGTTTGATGATTTGGATGGATTGATGAAATTCTACAGAAAAAGACTTTGGAATGGTAACCTGGAGATTACTTTTTCAAGCTTACTCAAAGTGTAAATTAACATGAATATAATAAATGAAAGATGTTATTTCCCTAAACACACATATATATACATACATACATACACTCCGAAGTAGGCAGCCTGCGAATTGAGACGCAGCCATTGTAACCATCATTGACATTCATAATGATGCCTTATTAGACATTGTAGAATTTGTAAATATTTTCTTAATATTAATATTTAGTGCAGTGAGCATGGTGAGGCTTGTGAAA